GCCGCCGCCGCCCGGGTGCGGAAGGTCCGGGCTCTGCAGGCTGCTGAAGGCGCCGGAGCCGAGCGCCCCGCCGGGCAGGAGGTTACTGGGACTGTTGAGCAGAGGGTGGTTGGGGGACTCCATGGAGCCCAGCGCGGGGTTCACCGGCGGCGTCGAGGGGGCCAAGCCCGCATTGGAGGGCTCGGCAGAGCTGCCCTCGCCCGCGGCTGGGGTCTTGCGAGGGCTGCCCGCGCCTCCGTGGCGGCGCCGCGGGGCTGCGGGCGGCGAGGGCGGGAGCTGCGGGAGCTGGGGCAGGTCGGCCGGACGCTGCCGCGGGGCGAAGTCCTGCCGCGGGTGGTGCTGCGGGTGCGGGAGGCTGAACTGCTGCGGCTGCGGTGGCGGCTGCTGCTGCTGGCGCTGGGCGAGCGGCGCCGACTGGAGGAGAGGGCCAGGCGGCGGCGGTGGGCTGAACCGGCCGGGGCAGAGGAGCAGCGGCGGCGGCGGCGGTGGCGGTGGCGGCTTCGAGTCCGGAGGGTGGGGAAGGTGGGGAGGGCTGAACTCTTTCCTCTTCTGGTTGCTCAGCTGCTGCTGCTGCTGCCGCTTACTGAAGTCCTGCGGGGAGGAGGTGCGGCAGCAGCAGCAGGAGGAGGCGGAGGAGGAGGAGGGGTGGTGCAGACTCGGTTTGAAGTCCTGGGAGGGGAGGAGGTGGGTCACACCCGCGATCGTGCCGCCGCCGGGGTGGTGGTTGGGGAGTTTCTCCGCGGCCGCCGCCCCCGAGAACGGCCGCGCCGGCTGCTGTGTCAGCCCCAGCAGCAGCTCATCCTGCATGGTCTGCTGATGCGCCAGGAACGGGGAGGAAGAGGAAGCGGCGGCGGCCGAGCCGCCCGCACCGCCGCCTAGGGGGATGGAAAAGGGGGAGGCGGCCTTCGAGAAGCCGGTGACAGGCAACGGTGGCGGCGAGAGGGGGCCGAAGGGCGTGGCGGAGGGCAGCTGGGAGACGGACCCCGCGGCGTAGTGACTGTACGCCTCCCCGCTGAACAGACACCCGGGGCTGCTGCTTCGGAGCGGGGCGGTCTGCAGCACCCCAACCCCGAAGTCCCTCATTTATCAGGGCGGCGGCAGCGGGAAGAGACGCGCCCTGTCCCCTGCACCGCTTAGGAAGCCGCTGGAGCTGGGGCGGCGTGGCCGTGGTGGAAGGAGAGGGGAGTCACTGGGAGAGGGACACCGTGACTGAGCCAGGGGGTATCGACTTCGACCCCGACAACCCTCGCGGCGACCGCCGCCGCCTCCAGACACCGGCTTGGGCGCCGCCACCGCCGCCGCCGCCCTTGCCGCTTAAGAACTCCGGAACGTGCGTCAGCGCCACCTCACAATCGCGCCGCCCCCTGCGGTGCGTCCCGGCACGCGCGGCGCGAGGCCGCCGCGCCCGTCGCCCCGCCCCTCATTAACATGCAGATTTAGTCGGGGGCGCGCTCGGACTCCCGGGAGGCCCGGGGACCGGGGCGGAAGCGAGCAGCGCGTCGCCTAGGGCCCTTTTCCCGGCTCGAGAAAAGGCCGGTTGGGGTCGAGGGCGAATTGGTAACGGGGGTCCGGAGCCCCCGGCGCGCGCGCGCACTAGGGCGAGCACGCGCTGCAGGCACGGACCGTTCCTGGGCAACGGCCCCTCCCGGCGCGGGGTCTGCGCACTGCTTGTCCGGGTCGCACGCGCCCGCGCTCCCCGCCTCCTTCCTGTCACCTCCGTTCCGCCTGCGGTTACGGGAGGCTCTGCCGCGGACTTGGGCTTCCCGGGGCGGAGCTGGCTCGCTGGGGAAACTGAGACCCGGACTGGGTCCCCTGAACTGCTCAAGCCCGCCTAGAAATAGGCTCCTGCGGCCGCGAGCTCAACCCGGGGCCTTGACGATGGGTGGGTGGGGGGGTGTCCTGTCGCACACTCGCTGATCAGGAAGGCTCTGCCTGCTCTAAAGCCTTTGAGCCGCTCGCCCGCACCTCCGGCCCTGACTGGTCCTGACTTGGGAGCTTCCGCGTCGCCCCGGGAAGTGCCTGTGGGCTTGTCTCGGTGTTTAGCCATCGTGGGGCGTGCTGTCACCAACCTCCCTGCAGCCGAGTGAAGGTGATTTCTGTAGGGTAAACCCTTCTGTTGTGTACCAAACATTTTCACTTGGGTGACGAGGAACAAAGTCTCCGGAGCGTAACCCGGTTCTGTCAGCTGTTTACACACATGCACGCATGGAATGGGCTCCGAGGCAGCTCCTATGGAAACCCTGGGCCAGCTCCAGCGGTCCTGTTTCATAAATGCATGTAATGCGCTGTCATCAGGACTGCGGCGTGTGCGACTCCTCCCCCCACCACGTTCACCCCGGCAAGCCCGCCCCTTCCCCCCCACCCCCCCACCCCCCGAGAGACTCTAATTTAAACATTTCCGAAGCTTTTTGATTTTTCCTGGGAGAAACATTTCTCACATCAGGGGGGAAAAAAGAGGTTCTGACTCAGCAGCGGACTTGTTGAGACTTGCAAAATGGAAGAGGAGAGCTTCACGGTAGCGCTCCCCTTAGAAACTTTAAAAGAGGAACTAATCCTTTCCTATGGAAACATTTTACACAGAGAAAATATTTGAGGGTCTAGCTAAAGCATAACAATGACCCACACTGCATGAGAGGAATTTCATATTCCCATTTTGCAATTTTAACTTTTTCTCGGTGCTTAGAGAAGTGAAACTATTACAGGAGCCCTAGAATCCATAGACTCAAATCCCCAAAACATTAGAAGGTGGATTCAGATTTACTTGATTTGGGTTTACAAGTGGACTGAGTTTAAATAATGTTATAAATTAGCATGAGCTTACTGATGTGGGCAGAGTGCACATTTTTGTATCTTTATTTTCTATTAGTTAAATTTGATTTCTACTTCTGTTCAGTGTTTCCAATTTACATAAACCAGAATAAACACAGTAAAAAGTAAGATCGCAAAGGGAAAATATGTTTATATATAAAGTGTAAGTCTGATATCCTATCTCATGAACTAAGTTTCACATTCACATAAGGAAGAAGTACTTTTTAAAAAGTACTGATTCAGATATTGGTGGAGTGAATAGAACATGGATGGTTCAAGTTAATAATTGCAAGATCATTTTTAATAATCAGGCAAAATATAGAACTGGAGAAAGTGCTTTTATTATTGTAAATTACAATGATTGGAACATATCTGAGCTCTTTAGAATTAAAATAAGTGGCTTTTTTTGCAGCACTTATTGACGTATTCTTTAACATTATTCATTTTTAATTCAATTTTACATTGAAAATACTTGAGCAACTGCGGCATATAAAGTTTTAAAAATGAGTGATTTTTTTTTTTCTGAGTTGTAGTTGATTGGAATCATTTGTAGATCCAGCAAGTAATACGGAAAGAATATGAAAATACAGGCATAATGCTTATCTCAGTCGTCCATTAACACTGCAGTCGGTACAGGGCGGTGCCTGTGGCTCAAAGGAGTAGGGCGCTGGTCCCCATATGCCAGAGGTGGTGAGTTCAAACCCAGCCCTGGACAAAAAAAAAAAAAAAAAAAAAATTGCAGTTGGTACAATGTTAAGAGGAGAGCGAGTATACATTTAAAAGGTAAATTCTGCCCTAGAATTTGAACAAAAATGAGATTTTCTAGTTCTTTGGTACTAGTTTTTGTTTTAGAGTACTTAGAACTCTTTGGAATGGGGAAAAGCCATCAAGTTCGGTAGTAAGTTTAAATCGCCTGGTAAGCACAGCAAATTCCAAATCCTAACTGCCAGGCCCTCTCCTTACTACTTTAATATCTCACACAGTGTTGCGAGGACCCCATTTTCAGAGAGAAGAAAGTTACTTTGTGACATCTAAAACTTTTAAGCTAGTGAATTCTCCCTTATTGAAAATATTCAAACAGAAAAGTTTTCCTGTACTGAGGAGGTGGGGAGCTGTGTCCTCTAGCACTATGACCCCCTACCGCTAGGCCCTAGATGGGTATTGGTCCATGGCCTGTTAGGAACTGGGCGGTGCAGCAGGAGGTGGGCAGTGGGGGAGCATCCAGCTTCATCTCTTTACAGATCCCATTGCTGGCATCACTTCCTGAGCTCCCCCTCTCGTCAGATCGGTACCAGCATTAGTTTCTCATAGGATCATGAACCGTACAGTAAACTGGGCATGTGAGGGATCTAGTTGTGCTCTCCTCATCAGACTCTAATGCCTGATGATCTGAGGTTCAGATATAATGCACTTGAATTATCCGGACACCATCCTTCCCCACCCCCTCATCCCTGGAAAAATCATGTGAAACCAGTCCCTGATGCCAGAAAGATTGGGGATCACTCTCTGGCAGGTTCCATGCCAAGATCTTATGAGTCTATGTTATGATCTTTTTTTACAAGAAAACTGTTTTGCTTTATGACCATTAAGTAGGACCCTGACTTGTCGGCCTTTTATTCATTTACTTCTACTGTCCTGTACGAAGGTTCTTAAAAATATTTTTGCTATAACCCTACATACACGCAAATGCACATACACTCAGGCCAGCAAAATAAAGGTTTTATTATGCAATTCCTAGTACAGCCAACAAAGTCCATTTTTTATTTCTACTTACTTTTTAAAATCAGTAAATGTATCTCAGATCACAAAGTTGATGTTAGGACCTTCTCTTGAAAGGTCATGCTCTGAAATTTACAACCAACGCCCTGGAAGACGATTTTAAACATTCTACTGTATCTGAAAGCCCCCTGTCGTGCCTGTTGTCCTGTCTTGACTCTCAGCTGCTGATTTGCCTGCTGATTTTGCCGAGAGGAGAAAAGCAGTCACAGGTCCTTCAGCCGTTACCCTGTTCAGGGTACACTTTGCCTTCCCTCCCCCCACAGTGGACGGCCTGTCTACTACTGTCTAAGGCCAGCCTCTCCACTAGTCACCAGATCTACCTACCTGCTCAGAATGTAGCTCCAGCAGTTCTCCCTGTCTCTCCATCATCGCCTCTTCCCTCTCCTGGAAACACTTCAATGTGTACTGAACACGCTTTACCAGTTCTCATAAAGGCTAGCCCGAACCTCCCGACTCCCCCTTTAGCTGCTGCCTCCTTTATCTGCTTTTCGGCTTGCATCTTGCCTAAGCACCTACCAGTTTGAGTCTTCGAAGTGAGCATCCCACAGACACCTCAAGTTCTACCTGTTGGAAACTGAGCTCCACACCTCACTAGTCCCCACTCCTGTGGGCCTCAATTGTTCTCAGGCCAAAAACCTTGGAGTCACCCTTGACTTCTATCTTTCTTCCATCATATCCAAACCATCAGAACACACTGTCCTGTCTTTAATTATCAGCATGCCCTGGAGACAATGTGGGTTTGGTTCCAGATCACTGTGATAAAGTGAGTCACATGGATTTTGGTTTCCCCCTGCACCTAAAAGTTATGTTCACAATACACTACAGTCTATTATGAAGTATGCAACAGCATTGTGTCTAAAAAATAATATACATACATTAATTGATAATACCTTATAAATAATTTCTAGCTAAAAAATGCTAGAAATCATTTGAGCCTTCCGGCAGTCATAATCTTTTTTGCTGGTGAAGGGTCTTGATGTTGATGGCTGCTGACTGATGAGGGTGGTGGTGGCTGAAGATTGGGGTGGCTGTGGCAGTTTCCTAAAATAAGACAAAAATGAAGTTTCTTCTTTTCTCTGGGGCATGGGATGTTATCTGATAGCATTTTACTAGAAGCAGAGCTGCTTTCGAAATTGGCATCTTTCTCTCAAACCTTGCTATGGCTTTGTCAACTAAGTTTTTTTTCATATTATAAATTCTTTGTTGCCATTTCAACAATGTTTACGACTTGACCAGGAGTAGATCCCATTTCAAGAAATTACTTTCTTTGCTTATCCATAAGAAGTAACCCCTCATCAGTTCAAATTTTATCAACAAGTAGCAATTCAGTTACATTGTTAGGTTCTATTTCTAATTCTAGATCTCTTCCTATGTCTGCCACAAGGGCAGTTCATCTCTCCACTGAAAGCTTGAAGCCCTCAGTAACCCACGAGGATTGGAATCCACTTCTTCCAACTGCCTGTTAATGCTGAAATTTTTGGCCTCCTCTTATTATGAGTGTTCTGAATGGCATCTAGGGTGGCAAATCCTTTCCAGAAAGTTTTTGATCGACTTGTTTCAGATCCATCAGAGGAATCACTATCCATGGCTGATAATGTCCTACACAACGTAATCCTTACATAGTAATACTTGAAAGTCAAAATTGCTCCCTGATCCATGGGCTGAAGAATGGATA